TCGGCCGGCCAAAAATGTCATTTTGACAAAATTGAGTGCCGACCGGCAACAAAGAGTGCTGATGACAAAAAAAACCAGTCGGTGACCTCTAGCCACTGCCAATGGTGTGTGGGGATTCCTCACAAGGCATTCCCTGCCCCTCCAAGGCAAAACACAAGTGCTTGGTGCAAAACCAGACACAAAACGATCGAGTTCGGAGATCCTGAGGCAAGGCGCATAGCCGAGACCTCCGGGAACTCCCAACGAACACAAACAAGGGTAATCACCAAGTGTTCCAATAGTGACGTCCAAGTCTTGAGGACGGTCAAAAATGGGGTGTCTACACATGGCTATCAAACACGGTTGTTGTGAAGAAAAAGAGTGGGAAGTGGAGGGTCTATGTGGACTTCACCAGCTTGAACAAGGCTTGTCCCAAAGACAGTTTCCCACTCCCTAAAATTGACCAATTGGTGGATGCCACCTCTGGACATGGAAGGATGAGCTTCCTAGACGCTTATAGGGGGTACCATCAGATAGCCATGTATCCCCCAGATGAGGAGAAAACTGTATTTATCACCCCAAAAGGTTGTATTGCTACAGAGTGATGTCTTTCGGGTTGAAAAATGCAGGAGCAACTTACCAGAGATTGGTGACTAAGATGTTCAGACATCTAATAGGCAAAATAGTGGAGGTATACATCGATGACATTGTTGTGAAGACCAAAGAACCTGAGGATCATCTGGTCGACCTGAAAGCAGTCTTCGATCCTGAGGACATTTCGGCTCCGACTCAATGCGTCGAAGTGTGCATTTGGAGTTGGGTTGGAAAAGTTCCTGGGATACTTCGTCACCAAAAAGGGCATTAAGGCAAGCCCGGATCAGATCAAGGCCATCTTGGAGTTAAAGAGCCTAACGTCGGTAAAACAAGTGCAAATGTTGACTAGAAGGGCTGCAGCCCTAAATAGATTCATAAGCAGAAGTTCTGACAAATGCAAACATTTCTTTAGTTTAGTAAAGAAAGCCACAGACTTTTTGTAGACAAAGAGTGCGAAGTCGCCTTGGCCAACTTGAAGAAATACTTGACCACCGCTCCAGTTCTCTCAAATCCGATACCTAGAGAAAAGTTGTTCTTATACTTGGCGGTTTCAGAGCATGCAGTGTGTGCAGTGGTAATCAGAGAAGAAAAGGGAGAGCAAAAGGCAGTTTACTACGCGAGTAAAACCCTAGCAGATGCAGAGACCAGATACTTACACTTAGAGAAACTGACACTAGCTTTAGTAATGGCCTCCAAGAAGCTGAGTTATTACTTTCAAGCCCACAAGATTATGGTGTTAACTGAGCATCCTTTGAAATCCCTGTTGCAGCAAGGGGATCTGACAGGCAGGATAGCCAGATGGGCAGTAGTGTTGGGCCAATACGACCAAGAATTCAGATCCAAAACAGCAATCAAAGGCCAGGTTTTGGCCGACTTCGTGGCTGAGTTCACACTAGGCGCCATTATACATCGGGCTCCGTTGAGCCGGGGTATACGATGTCCAAGTGAATAAGGAGAAACCCAGCTGGGGACAACAGAACAGAGGAAAGAAGAGAAACTCAGGCCCTACAGTATTTATGTCGGCGACTCCTTCCGCCTGTTTGTTGATGGGAGTTCAAATCGACAAGGAACGGGGGCAAGAGTAGTGCTAGTATCGCCGGATGGGCAGATACTGGAACAATCCATTCGTTTGGGGTTTAAGGCCTTAAACAACGAAGCAGAATATGAGGCACTGATCGCAAGATTGAAATTGGCTACAGCAACGGAAGCCGACGAGGTGATGGTCTTCTGTGACTCCCAACTTATCGTCAACCAGGCAACAGGTGAATATGCAGCTTGAGATGAAAGGACGATGGCCTATGTAAAGAAGGTGGGCAAACTGATATCATTATTCTAAAATTGCCGACTATAGCAAGTTAGCCGAGATAACAACAGCCATGCTGATACCTTGGCCAACCTGGCTAGTGCAATGAAACCAGGAGAGGCAATGACCATAATGGTTGACTATTTGTTAGGTCCAAGTGTAGAACCACTGAACACAGAGTATGAGACAATGTGTGTGGAGATAAGACCAAGTTAGATGGATGTGATAATAATATTCCTTAGAGATGGGAAACTGCCAGATGATCATGAAAAAACACACAAGACCTGACTGAAGTCGGCAAGATTCAGTCTAACAGCAGAAGGACATCTCTGCAGAAGATCTTTTACTGGTACCCTTTTGAGATGTGTGCATCCTTCACAAGTTGAAGACTTCCTGTATGAAATACACGTAGGAGTGTGTGGAAGCCACGCTGAGGGCAAGTCACTTGCTCATAGGGACATTACTCAGGGGTACTGGTAGCCTTATATGTAAAAAGATGCTGAAGCCTATGTTAGAAAAGTGAGAAGTGTCAGAGGTTTGCACCTTTGATCCACCAACCAGCAATGGATTTGAACCCAGTGTTCAGCCCTTGGCCATTTGCCCAATGGGGCATGGATCTTGTTGGACAACTGCCTCAAGCGACTAGACAAAGGAAGTCCTTGCTAGTGGCAACAGATTACTTCACCAAGTGGGTGGAAGCTGAACCCTTGTAAAGATTCGAGATGTTGATGTGAAGAGCTTTATATGGAAAACCATCATCACCAGGTTTGGGATCCCAAGAGCAATAATAACAGACAGTGGAACACAGTTTGATAGCAAGCTGATCAAAAGTTTCTGTGCAAAGTACAAAATCAAGAATTATTACTCTACTCCAAGCTTCCCTCAGAGTAATGGTCAAGCAAAAACATCTAATAAGGTTATCTTGGATGGGATCAAGAAGAGGCTGGAAGCAGCAAAGGGAAAGTGAGTGGATGAGTTGCCCAATGTACTCTGGGCATATCGGACTACACCAAGAAGATCAATTGGGGACTTCTCATTCGCCATGACTTATGGCACAGAAGCAGTTATTCCACTGGAGGTCGGCATCCCAAGAATCAGAACCCAGGGAGTAGAAAATGAGACCAATGAGGCACTCTTGGCCCGAGATCTGGATCTGTTAGAAGAAATAAGAGATAAAGCAGCAATTCAGCTAGGGGAATACCAACAACAGCTTGCTAGGGCTTACAATAAAAAGGTCAACCCATGAGAGTTTCAAATCGAGGACCTCGTCTTGAGAAAGGTCGTCGGCAACAAGAAGGATCCTAGAGAAGGCAAGCTTGGCCCAAATTAGAAGGGACCTTATAGGATCATCTCGATCCTGGGTAATAGGGCATATCGACTTGAAGACAGTGAATGTAAAGAGTTGCCACGACCCTAGAATACTTGCAACCTGAAGTTTTTCTATCATTAGATTTCTTTTTAAAGTTTTTTGTTATTAGCCGAAGTAATAATAAAATTTTAGCTCAATTTTTTTCAAATTTGTGTAATACGACTAACCAGTCACTTGGCGATGTTTTTAAGTGAAACATGACGAATATCTTAGACTTATTATATGGCAAAGTTGAAATTATACTTGCATATAATAGAGTTGAACTAAGTTGGTGATGTTTCTGATTGAAACATGACGAATAACTTAGACTTATTATATGGCAGAGTTGAATTACACCTGCATATAATAGAGTTGAACTAAGTTGGTGATATTTCTAAGTGAAACATGACGAATAACTTAGACTTATTATATGGAAAATTTGAAATTATACTTGCATATAATAGAATTAAACTAAGTTGGCGATGTTTCTGATTAAAACATGACGAATAACTTACACTTATTATATGGTAGAGGTCAAATTATACTTGCATATAATAGAGTTGAACTAAGTTGGAGATGTTTTCTGATTGAAACATGATAAATAACTTAGACTTGTTATATGGCAGAGTTGAAATTATACTTGCATATAATAGAGTTGAACTAAGTTGGCGATGTTTCTGATTGAAACATGACGAATAACTTAGATTTATTATATGGCAGAGGTGAAATTATACTTGCATATAATAGAGTTGAACTAAGTTGGAGATGTTTTCTGATTGAAACATGACGCATAACTTAGACTCATTTTATGGCAGATGTGAAGTTATACTTGCATATAATAGAGTTGAACTAAGTTGGATTAACCTAGAATTGTCATATCGGCAGAGTCAAACACAAATTAAAAGAGAAACCAAGGTTGAGAACCTCAGCTAGTCTCTGTTTGAATATAACTTCGGCAACAAGGTCATAGCCACATACTTAATGAGAACCTAAGTGGAACTTAAGTTCACATTAGGGGACAGAGGTCTAGAGAGTAATGCTTGGGAGTTGGAATTCACAAGCTAAAGTTGGCCTAAACACTTGTTAAAATTTTTAAAAAAATTTACAAGTTGAAGTTAAACCGAGGTTATGTTGAAAGAAATATCTACATACTTGTCGAGATTACCAGGTTGCCAAAACTTGACAAATGTGGAAGACTGAAGTCTTGATAGAAGACAATAAGTAAAGTGGCAAGCTTTAGATAAACACTTGTGAAAATATTTTTATAATGTTTTTGGCAAGGCCGAGATAAACAAGTTGGAAGTTATGTCCGAGGTATTTTACTCTGAAGAAACTGTACAACTAAAAGAATAAAACTGAAGGCATGCAAAATATTTTAAGTATGGAAACAGTAAAGCATACAAACACTTGAAAGAAGAAGTTGTACTTGCATTCAAAGAAGAAAAAGGACACTTCGACTTACAGAGGGATTACTTGTTCAGATTACAAAAGTGGCACGTCGGCTAAATATGGAAACTAAGAACATTGTTCAGAAAAATACTAAGTACAAAGGAAAAGCTTTTAGTCTGACTACTCAGCGTCAGCGGCGGCCTGTGTCTCGGCCCCAGAGGACAACTGGGAAGTCTTCTTGGCAACCTTCTCAGCCTCGAGCTCGGCATCGATCTCTTGTAGAGTCTAATCGAGGCTCTTCTCGGCGATAGGCACCTCGAATATTGTCTTCTTGAGGGAGGCATCTTTTGAGACCTCGTCCTCCTCATCCTGAGTCAAGTCTAGAACTTACTCATTCAGAGTTGAGGACTTGGCCCCAGTAGGATCTTCAGCATCAGCCATTTTGGCCTTTTCGTCTTCGGCTTCCCCTCCTTCTTTTTCTTTTTCTTCTCCTTTCTCCCCAGCCTTAGCCTCGGATTGGCTTGAAGTGGGAGGGAATGGCAGCACAAGTTGGCCTACATCTTTGAGCGGAGAGTCCTAGGGGATAAGCAACTCCTTCAGAACAGCCATCCAACCAAGGGCGTAACCCTTGTTGCATGCCTCTCTGACTTGTTTTTTGTAGTCTTCGCGGACGTCTGCTGCCCCCTCGGCATAGGCCTTCTCGTCCGCCGCTTTGATCTCAACGTCTTTTGTGGCCAAAGCAGCTAGGAGCTCAGCCTAGGCTTCGGTAGTTTTCACTTCGGCCTCTTGTTTCTCCGCTTTGAGAACTGCAACAATAGCCTTTACAGCACCGGCCTTTTCTTCGGCTTCATCTTGGGCCTGTTTAGCCACTTTGGCCTGGTCTATTAAGGATTTCATCTTGGCTTCGGCTTTGTTCAGCGACTTGAGCAAACCAGTAGCCTCCTTGGTCTTATGGACCAACTCCTTCTTTATTTCCTCTGCTTGCATCGCAAAGAAGTGGCATGCTGGATTGCCTAGAAGAAATGCAAAGATCAAAGTTAGTGAATTCATTAAGTACGAAAACAGAGAATGAAGAGTACTAAGTGTTAGGGATTTACTTGTACAGAATGCTGCACCATCAAAGTTAAATTTTCATATTCGCTGACCTCGGTCATTCAGTTGAGGTCATTAGGAAGGAGCAGCGCAGTGGAGAGGGGGGCACCGACTTCAATATCAGAAGCGCTGTCACCGGCTTTGACTAGCTTATCCTCAATAGTGATGGAGGGGGCCCAGGGGTCATCCGATTTACGAGAACCCGAAGTGGTTGCTGAGTCCGACCTCGACTTCTTTGACTTAGTGGATTCAGAGGGTTCAGCCTCGGTGAACCTTTTTTCGGCGGCGAAGGTACTTTTTTCTGCCTTAGCCATTTTTGAAATTGGCAAGGTATTCTCGTAGTCGATCTGAGTCACCGTTGCCTTTGCTTGGGCCTTCTTCAGCCTCTTTGGCTTCGGTTTTGGCTAGGATTAAGAAGGTAAAGATTGGACTATGACGCATTAGGGATGTCGGCTAGAAGGTCATCTGTAACATCCTTTTTGCAACCCATCTCGTCGCGGCAACGGCGACAGTGACCTTAATGCCGAAGTGGATCGCTGGAAGTCAGGCGGTGGGTTGGCTGGATCGTAAGCTGACACTTCAGTACTTCGCCGTCTTCGGCTACGAGTTCTTCCTGCGGGGACAAGCAGTGGAGCTCGACGTCGGCATTGGCACTGAGAGGGTGGAATCAGTTGTGGAGCAGAAGTTGATGGCTATTCTACTGGGTCGGATGTTGTGACTTGATCGGGCCTTGGTGATGAGGTTGTTGGGGGAGTTGTTGTTGAGGGTGGAGACTTGCTCTTTTTGGGGACATCGTACAATGTTGATTTGTAGGTCAGGATGTAGTTCAGGAGTAGAGGAGCCTTGCGCTGATTAACAGGCAAGTCTAACAACCTCTTGAAATCTTTGTTGGGGAAGAATGTCTTGCGGAAGTCTTTGGGAGGCTGAGGAAGAACTACAAAGTAAAACAAACAGATGTTAGAACATACAAAAGTATCAAAATAATAAAGACTTGAAAGCAAGTAAAGTGACACTTGGCTCTTACCATTTCCCTCTTTGAACACTGTTCGACTTAAGGGGTAAAGGTGAAGGTCGTCATCTGGTGGGAACTTCCAGTTACCCGAGACGATGAAATAATCGTCTCCAGCACCCTTGTTGGAGTCTGGGAGGTCGGTGATGAGTTTGCATTCTGTGGATCTTGGATTAAGGTAATAGATATAGCCCATTTCTAACTTCAGGCCACACATTGTATAACAGTATTGGATATCAGCTAAAGTTATCCTAGCATTTTCTCGACTAGCTAAGGCAATGATACCGTTAATGACTCGGTCAGAGTTAATGGTTAGCTGCATTGGGTTGTGCTTATAGTAGTGAAGGACTTCTTGGAAGAAGATGTCAAGAGGGAACCTAAGTCCACACTCTATGAAGGCCACCACAGGGAAAGGCATGGAGTCCCCATCAGGCATGATGGAGTCCTTCTCCTCTGCTAGCCTAAGGTGGACATCGGCGGGGATGGCAAATTCCTGCCTAAAGTACTCTAGTCTAGTAGAAGTGTCTACTCTCCACCTAAACATACCCATGATGTCAGCTAAGAGGGGCAATGTGAGAATTCAGAAGAAAATGGTTTGTATGGGTTTGAGGGACCTCGGCTTAACTCAAAACAGAAAACTGGGGCAAGGGTTTTCAAGATCTAGGAGGAATTCGTTTCAATTTTCCTGAGGATATGAGTTCTAAAACAAATCCCAAAACCTAAGACTATGAAAACAAGAAAACAGAGAAGAACCGTAATTCAGACTCAAGAAAACCAGAAAGGGTTCAAGAACGTTGCATAAAATGTAAACGTGCACAAATTGAAGACGGTGGCAATTTACAAAGAACATCAAGTGTATGAACAGTATGTGAGTGCGTGTGTATACCTAGAAACAAATTGGACAGCGGAAAAATTGCAAGCAAAACAAAATTTACAATGCAGATAAAGATTCGAGAACATGAATAGATTCGCAATAGCAGTGTGCAAAACTAACAAAATTCGAAGTAAGTCAAAGAACTGAAAGGAAGGGAACAGTGACTTACCGAGGAAAATGAGGCCGATATGAGGTACGCTGAAGTCAGACGGTGACAGTGAGTGGAACGGAGTGGTGAATACTTCGCTGGAAGAGATGATCAGAGCAAGGTACAGAACTTGGAAAGCTTGAAACAATGGCGGATTTAGAGAGAGAAAGCTTGAGAGAAACCAAAGAGCATAAAGTGAAAAGACGAAGAAAAAGAGATGTTTTTTTATCAAAACACGGAAATGCGGCAAAATTGTAATTAGTGAGCCTAGGACGACGTGTCTGTCAGGCAGCGCACGCAGAAATGACGCGACCTGATGGCGCGTGTCAGGTACGGTTTAATAGGGAAGAGACGCGTGGCAAAAACAGTTGAGTTACTGTGCGTGACAGCTCATACGCGTGTAGGAACTCTTGGAGTTCTTGATTTAATGAAGCAGGGACCTCGGCTATGGGGACAATCTTGGCTAAAGAACTTGAAAAAACTTGGATCTTGGTTCTAAGGCATTGATGAAAATAGACTACAAGTCTTGGTCATATGGAGTCGACGAATGATGACCTCGGTAACGAATAATAGAACACACTTAGCCGACATGCTATAGGTTCAAATGATATAGGTTTTATCACCTCATGATGTCGAGGTAATAGAACCTGGGAGGTAGTTGTGTGGACATATTTTTTGGATAACAACACATGGCCGATGTGGCACCAAAGTGCCAGCCGAGGTGCCATGTGTCCGGGTCATGATGCCGAGATGATCTCGGTTAGGCCGAGGTTATCTGCGGAGCTACCGAAATCTGGGATAAACACAAAAGCTATAAGAGTTCTAGAATGAGGGAAGACCTCAGCCTGGATAAGGATAAGGCTCTTAGGGAGTTTATCTTTATCCATGGGAGAGTCCAAAATGAGCATTGGGCTAGAGTCCAAGAGGAGCTAGGCCTTTACAAGGAACAAGTTAGTGCTGGCTATAAAAGTAAGACACCCTCATGGATCTAAGGTATACTTTTTGTATTCTGACTAAGCGTGTTAAGCACTATTTGCTATCTTTGAGAGATAATTGAGTACTGACTTGATCATCGGAGTGCCCCGGGGTGGACGAACCACTGCCGAAGTCTCATCTTTCTGTGACAGGTCGTTCGGGCGCAATCTATTTTGCAAGTGTTCTCTAGCTGAGTACCTGTTTGATAGTGTGGTCAGAAAACAGCACACACACATATATATACTTTCCACACTTTTAATACACAGGCACAATAGTATGAGACAATTTGGAAGGTTAGTAAAAAGTTAATTTTTAACTTTTAATCTATTTTCGATTATATCACTTTTCACACTTTTTATACTTAAAAAAATTTAAAAAATTAAAAAATTAATTTTTAACCAACTTTTATAGCTCATATTCCAATGCTGATTGACACCTAGAGGAGTGAGACATTCACTGCACTGAGGAGATTCATAGACTTTGCTTGTAGACTGCAAATTAGAGACAATATAAAATAGAATCTTGTACTTTCCTCACGGTTTCTCAATAATTAGCATATGTAAGTTATTTCTATTTCATAAATTGTAAATAATAATTGTACCAAACACATTGAGACAACTTTTCAAAATAAACAAAATAATATTGCAAATAATTTTATAAATTCCATCAAATAGACATGTTAGTTTCACTTATTCATAGTTTCATTTAGAATTTGAAATAAGATGATTAAATAGTTGTACATTGTGGGAGCCCAAAATTAAATATCAGCTTATTGAGAGTAACTCAAACAAGTCATAAGAATGAGCTAAGATCAGTAAACAAGCCCACTAAATAAATATCTACTAAGCAAATATCACACATCTATGAAGGAAAATGAGGACATAGAAGGCAGGGGGATCTTAAATCTTTGCAACACAACACACACAGACACCCTTCATTTCTCTGTCTTTTTTTTTTTATTCAAGTTGCGAACTTTATCATCAGAGTGTCCCTGACCGACAACTCCGGTTGGGTGATGTCGACCATGCTTATCTTTGCAGATTTATGAGACAAAACTTATCTTTTCATTAGATCTCTACAATTCATGTGAGAGAATTTTTGAAGTCTCGCATACATCAAGGAGCTAGAGTAATGTTTGGTTTCATTTTCAACTTATTTGTTTTTTAAGCTTAAAACAAGCTTAAAAAATAAAATATTTAAGATTTTTTTAAAAAAAAGCTAAAATCAACTTTCTTTTTTGTTTTTTAATTTTTTTTATAAGAGTGCTTCCAAACAAGGTATTGTAGTAGTTGGGTATCTAACCATGATGTCAAAGACGGCATTGTCTTTAACAAAGTTTAGGTAACATGCGCCACACATGGTTATAGATGAGAGAGAAAACAAAAAAGTAAAAATTGATTTGTCTCCATTAGCGTCGATTAAGGAGCCGTTGTGGTGTCTTTAATGACTTTAATCATTATACCTATGATGTTTTAGTTGAAAAACAAATAATTTCCTTGTAGCGGGGATATACATGACCATATTTGATTTGTGTAGTTTATCGAGGTTACCTAAATTTTTTATTTTTTATTTTAAAAGAATTTGTGTTAAAATGTTTGATCCAAATAAAAAATATATATTTATAAATTAAGGAAGAGATGCTTTTAGGTTTTATTTTTTTATCATTAATTTTTAACTTATAATAAATTGGACCAAACATACTATCTATACTATATATTAAGTAAAAATAAGTTTTTAACTCCAAAACTTGTGAGAGCTTCAATCTCCTAATCATAATTTTCTTATTTTTTGATTTAAAAAAAAACCTCAGCATTTATTGATTTCTCCCAACCCACAATCCCTTTTGACTTTTCTCATAATTATTGCAACACCTTTTTCAATTTCTCACATACACTATGGTTACACACAAAAATAAAAAAAAAGATAAGAATTTAGCTATAAATCTCAAAAAGATATAACATCTAAATTTAAATTATGATTTAATAATATAATTATGTATTTTTTTTATGTATATCTATCAAAATTTTAAATTACTTAATGGGAAAAATTAATCAATTTTCCAAAATTATTGATTTTTAATTTACGAAATAGATTAAAAAAAACCATTGACTGATTTATTTATTTAATAACAAAAATATTTCATAATCTCTCCCTCCTAATCTCTCTCAAAAATTTTCAAAAAAAAATATTAAAACTTGCATTCTTTTTCTCTTCCCCAAAAAATCAGATAATATTTTTTTATTAAAGTTGTAGATATTTACCTATATTTTATATATTATATCATAACATAACAAAAAAAAACTAAAAA